GACGTTTGGAACAGTTGGCTTCAAGCATTCAACAGAAGCAGTCGAGCATACCAGCAGGGACGATTGCACGGCGTTGACCCTCGTCTTTCCCAGCAGCTTCTTCTCCCGCACACCAACAGTGTCTCGGTGAGAGAAGAAGTTGTTCGTTTGTGGCGACGGTGCCGAGACTTGGCTTGGCTGGTGATGCTGAAGAAACGTGGAGATATGCTACAAGTAGGTGCAGAACGAAAAGCATTCACGCAGATACGTACGCTGTCTGGTAGTGAGTGTAGGTCGAACGACAGAGCCGCTGTTTCTCTGGACTACAAACAATAACGACCACCCCGTGCAGAAGTGCACGCAGCGTCCAGCAGGGCGTTCTTCTTTGTCATTATGGCTGCGTGCTGGCTACTGTGACTTTCACGCGTTTTCGCGCACGCCGCGATTGTTCGAGTATTTTGGGATTTGATTGGAAGCATAGGTCTATACTAGGTAAGCAATGCATACGATAGAGAACATCATCACCCCTGTACCCGTGGGCAGATTATGAAAAGTACAGATACCTACGAGCGGGACCCGATTTTGTAAAAGATTAACCAGGGTATTTGCGTAGGCTCTCCGGATGGTTCCCTGCGTGGCCCATCGATGGCCTAAGCTGTCCTTCATTGTTGGCCGTGTAAGCTATATTTTGGCGGGCCTTGCTAACCTCTCTGAACATCTTTTCCTGTACACATAATGCCGCAAAAACCAAACACGTCTAATATCCGCGCACAGCATCTAGACTACGCGCCCACACATCAACGGTACACCAGGCTGACGCATCCATGACAAAAAAGTGAAAAATATGCTCATCGGGCGACGCCTCCCAGTGAAATTGAAGCACCATGTAAGTATTGCGAAGCCAAGCGATGCGTATGTATGCTGTCTTGAGTATCTCGCGTGCTTGGTATGTTATTATGCGTAGAAGTTTTTTTGGCATTGATTATTCTTTGAGGCCCGTCTCTCCCAGAGTGTTACAAACGCCGGTCTCTTGTTGCATGTGCAACAGAGCTTATGTGCAATATCCGTGTACAGCAATAGTTGGTTGGGCGCAACTCACTCCCGCTCGAATGTCCGCGTCCGCTCGTAAGATGGCGGGGTTGCCCCCTGTCGTGCCCCCGACTTCCCGCGCGATATCATGACCTACCGCTGTTGCTCGCCTTGCAGTAGCTTGTTTGGGGGGTTCATCCTCCGCCCCTTATCGCGTCGACCGCGAAAGTTGAACTACTGCTGTACACATGGATGTTTGCAAAATGAACCGTTCTCCCACCGATTGACCGTTAATATCCGAACAGCAGTACGAAATGCTAATGGTAGGGAGAGCGAGTCCTCACTGTTGCACACAACCTTTAGAGCACCATGCTCGCAGCAGTACTTGGCCTTGTCTTCTTCTGTATCGAAAGAGGTTGGACCATTTTCTGGGGCACGCCCGATCTGCCGGTGTAGCGTCGCTGCCGCCGGTTTCCGCCCGATTCTCGCGGCGCAGTAACCCTGACGCGCGGGGTCGCCGGCGGCACATATTTCAAACTCTAACCCACGCGTTCCTTCGCCGGGACGCCCCCAGCGGCGACGGCGAGAGAGTGGCGGTGAGTTCCGGGACGGAGCGCAAAAAGACACGGGGTGCCGTGTTTCCAATCCGCGAAAAACCGCATGACGGTGAAATGCGGCAGGATGGGCGGGAATAGCAGTTTTTTGTGCCGCGCGGCAGGCAAGCACTGGATGTCGTTGCAATCCACGCGTAGGGCATGACAAGGAACACACGTGAAGAACTCCCCCCCCTCCCCTCCCAAATTTACCTCATCGGGGGGGGAGCTTTGCATCAGGCATAAAACATGCACACACACACCCGGGGGTGGGCGAAACCTGTAGGCAATTGAACCTCGACCCTAAATGGAGGCTTGCCTTATCGCCTCGTCGACAAAACACGCAAGCTCCCGGGACTCAAAACACCCTATCGGACCTACCTACCGTAGGCATTTCTTCAGTCCAAGATATCGCACTCGAAAGGAGTAATAGGACATCGAACGTCACCTGCAGCTAGCTTGTGCCCTTCGCGAAGCGTCGACGGTGAGACGGGCGTCGCTAGCCAAAAGCGAAAGGTCCGGCAAGAAGCTCATCTCGTTGTATTTTGCTCAACCTCAACCGCTGTAGTACTCCGCCCTCGGACGAAAAGTAGATTCGGCTACAGACCGGTGGTGTTGTTGGAGTAGGAGCCATCTCATCTGCCCCCAGCCCCCCCAATCTCCCACACTACTGACAATTTTCCTAAACAGCCCATGGGCCGCCCATGGGCACTTCAACCTAGAACTTGGCCACCAGCGCCAACCTAGCACGTACCGTGTGGGCTTGGGGTTAGGGTTACGGTTGGCCTTGGAGTTATTAGCCGCTAAAGTGCCCGTTCCAAAGCAGATATTTTGTTCAGGAGCACACTGTGAAAAGCTGTTATTGGCCGCCCATGGGCTTCCCATGGCTTACCCATGGGTGCCCCATGGGTCGTTTGGGAAAATTGTAGAAAGCGTGGGAGATCCAGCTCCCTGCGTTGACAGAAACAGCAGCAGCAACAACAAGCCACACAACACTACCGGATTGAACATGGCCCTATAGCTTTTCCCTGTAGGTTTACCCTCGGGGTGGCCGATTTCGCGTTGATAAAAGCGGCGGGGTGTTCAAGGATGCTATGGTAACGTCGGGTTGAGCCACTCATTGATTAATCAAATTACGGTGATGCATACCGGTATGTATCAGAACACGTCCCAGGTGCTCCATCAGCCCGTGGGCCACCCCATGCTCTTTCGACTTGGTAGGGGGTTGCACTTTTTGGGCGAACATATCTTACTCTGGGGAGAAAGCGTGTAGACTAGTCCTGTTTCGGTGATCCTACATCGAAACGTTGGCAATCCAACAGGAGTGCGTGCATCTGCCTCTCCCTTCACCCGAAAGTGTACTAACGAGGCGACCCCCCTGCTATAGTGCCACTCGTTGCCGTGGCCCTCGGCCGGCAGCATGCGGGTTCCGTTGATGACACAAGATATCATACTCCCTGGACCGATTTTCAAGTCTCGATTTCTCAACAGCATAAAGAGTCATAGCGCCAAAAACGGTGACGTTGAAGCTGTCTCGTCGCGAGCTTTCCGAAAATGTATTGTTTCATTTTATGCATCCTCTAAATCGCGTGTAATAGAGCTTTGAAAATTGGTCCAGGGGGTGTGTTGTCTTTTGTCATATACGCTAATCGCACCCATTCATTCGTTCGCGTGTGGCCCGACCACCGACCTAATCATACAACACCTGCTGCCCCCTCGCACCAGGTGGACCAATCAAGTACCAGTCGGAGTCGAGCCAGGGGAAGATGTGCATGCCGGTTTTTGGTCCTCAAGTGTTGATGGGCCGCGACGCTGGGCCAATTTCCCGTCTCACCCGCACAGGCAAAGGTGGCTGCTCGTGGGACGGAACAATAATGCCACGGAAGAGGAGATATGCCGGAACAGGGCAGCTGGGTAAGGCGGAGTAGGTTATAGAGGTACTACATTTTTTTTCTTCTGAGATAACCTTTTGGTCGAAACAGCTTGTCCGCATACTGCATGCATGAGAGATAGACGACGGTGGTTCATGTCCGTCAAAACGTTTCGCGTTTCTTTTCTGTCTGCAAGACGGCTCTTGCGCACACCTCAGCGCTTTTTATGAGAGACAGGCGAACGCGGGAAAGTTCATCATCATGATCTATATTTCGCCTTTTTTCGTCGAGAGTTCTCGAGGGTTGACCTTTTGCCCTAGAGGTATAGACGAAAAGTTCGTGGTTGTCTATTCATCACTTGTTTCGCCGAGAGGGCAAACATGTGAAAATTCTGCACGAAAGGGGAGTTGGTGACCGCTGTCTCAGGACACGGAGACGATGGCCTGAGAGCCCATGTTGAGCGCGTTGCTTCTTGAGTATTTTCTCGATCCCCGAGACTACATGTTAGGCTTCACACCCAGAGGTAGTGTTAATGCCAGACCTTTTCCTTTGTGGCCTACAATGTAGAGGTGGGGGTATTTCTACGGTACGAACCGTTGGAGTCTTGGGGGCATCATCCGAGATTGGCTCTACTTTGTCCACTCCAACTAGTAGTGTAGGGGAGAAATATTGCTTTCGGCGCGAGCAGACGTNATCCATGAAAAAGATCGCAAGCGAGGGAGGACGCTGTCGCACAGCCGCACTCTTGCAAGAGCACGAGATCTCAGATCATGGATGGACCATCATGTGAACAACAGTGAATGTGCAAACGGCATACCTTCGTAGCCAGCGCGACCATGGGGGGGGGCACACAGAGAATACTGTTGTAGATATGTCATTATTTTTGTTTGACATTC